TTTTGCAGGCTTATACACGGCCATTACTAGGGGTGTGGTGATGAAGGTGGTGAAGAGGGCCATGACAACCATGATGGCGAATGTTTGATCGTTTAATACCTGCATTTTCAATACGATAACACCTGTTAATCAAATGATGAAGAACTATTAAAAGAATTCAGGGTTATTTTGCAATGATAATAACAATACTTGAATTACCTTTCTATCCTTTCCGATGTTGAGGACTATAAGTTCCACCAAGCCCTTGCTGTTCATTAGGAAGCCCAATGCAAGAGCTTCACGAAAAGGTACTCTGTAAAGTGCAGAAACTACAACCGTACCAACAATTTTCCCAAAACAGGCTGTAAATATGACCAAAACAAGGACACCCAATGACTGAAGCCCTTGGATTGTGGCTACATTTGTTTTCAGTCCACTTGAGACAAAATACAGAGGGAGAAAGAGACCAGATACGAGATCTTCAACTTTTTCTACAAGAGCACCAGCAAATGGCCCTTCCTTTGGGACAAGAACACCAATCACAAAAGCACCAAACATAGCATGAATTCCAATGGCATCAGTAATAAGCCCAGCTGCAAGTACAGCAGCTAAGGTAGCACATACGTACATCTCTTCCACTGGCTCACCCTCGTGGCATCTCCGAGCCATCCATTTGAAGATTGGAGGCACAATAAGAATCGAACAAATAACAAAAACACAGCCACACAAGAAGACCCAAACTGAGACAAGTGGGGAAAGATTTTTTCCTGATAGGGCAATTGCAAGAGCAAGTAGAATCCATGCAGCCACATCATTGACCGCTGCAGCTGACATGGCCATTCGCCTGACATCGGTGGTTAAAAGTTTCAGCTCTGCCAATATACGAGCTAAGACAGGGAAGGCAGTTATGGAAAGGGCTACACCCATGAATATGAGAAATGAAGTCCCGCCTACACCTTTTGCTATAGTTTCTCGGATGACAAATGAAGAACCGATTCCTAAGATAAATGGGAGGCTAACTCCTGCTATGGCAATGCTAAGGGCTTTTTTTCCCGTCTGACGTAGGGATTTAGGATCCAATTCTATGCCTACGAGAAATAAAAAGAACAGTAGACCAAGGTTTGCTAATGTATCTAACAACGTGATGCTCTTGGGTGGGAAAATGGCCTTCAAATAGTTTTTGTTTCGACCAAGCGCTGATGGCCCAAGTAATATTCCTCCCTGCCAAACAAGCAACCTTTCCTACAGGTCCCAACTCTGGGCATTCACTATTATTCCGGTTTAATGCTAAGGCTAATTCAGTAAAAGGCGTACGACCAACCAAAAAGAGGCTGCAGCGACTGAACTCATGGACCACAGCAATGGCTTCTACAGCATTTCTTACAATTTTCTCTTCATATTTGATTGAGCTGTCTTCTGAAATTGTTTCCTTGAACTCGCTAAGATACTCTTCATCTGTTGAACCCAATTTCGTGATAGAATTGCCATCCACATCGACTCTTACAATCTCTCCTACACCCTCCGTTTCCACAGAGAAGCGAATGACTGTTAATCTTATGCCAGGGTGCTCAGCCATTCGAGCCCCGTAAGCAAGGGCTTCACGATCATCACGGCCTCCGAAGAAGAGAACTGTGATGAAGTAAGCAACATTACTTGCAGATACATGGATTGATCCACCAAGCCCACGGTCGAGTAGGATCCCAACTGAGCATGGTGCGTGTTCGAGTACCCTCTTATTAACATACCGAAATTCAATTCGTGTAGTCTCTAGCGTGCCGTCCAATCTCTGGTGCTTGTGAAATGGTAAAATTATGAAAGCTGCTCTTTTCCTCTCAGCAGTAGTGCAAATGTCCTCGTGCATGTCTGACAGTGAAGAGATTGATGTCATTGGCCTTACTGACACCTGGCTCAGCCTCCGGAAAGCCTCAAAAGCCACAACAACATGGTTTGAATTTGATTGCTGACCCATATTCCAAAACGGTTGTCTGTTCTTTCTTGCCTTGTGGGCCATTAGTATGGCTGATGACCTTTCAGAGAGCTCCATGAGGTGCAATGCATACACGCAAAGACCTTCACGCTTCTCAACTCCTCGTGAGGCCTCGACGAGATTTATCACCGATGGAATGTTTCTAGAACTACGAAAACAGGCCAGGATTCGAAGCTGAGTATTCGGATTTTTCCTCTCTATTGTTCTATGCTTGTAATCAGCTTTACTTGCCCTTTTTGCAGGCTTATACACGGCCATTACTAGGGGTGTGGTGATGAAGGTAGTGAAGAGGGCCATGACAACCATGATGGCGAATGTTTGATCATTTAATACCTGCATTTTCAATACGATAACACCTGTTAATCAAATGATGAAGAACTATTAAAAGAATTCAGGGTTATTTTGCAATGATAATAACAATACTGGAATTACCTTTCTATCCTTTCCGATGTTGAGGACTATAAGTTCCACCAAGCCCTTGCTGTTCATTAGGAAGCCCAATGCAAGAGCTTCACGAAAAGGTACTCTGTAAAGTGCAGAAACTACAACCGTACCAACAATTTTCCCAAAACAGGCTGTAAATATGACCAAAACAAGGACACCCAATGACTGAAGCCCTTGGATTGTGGCTACATTTGTTTTCAGTCCACTTGAGACAAAATACAGAGGGAGAAAGAGACCAGATACGAGATCTTCAACTTTTTCTACAAGAGCACCAACAAATGGCCCTTCCTTTGGGACAAGAACTCCAATCACAAAAGCACCAAACATAGCATGAATTCCAATGGCATCAGTAATAAACCCAGCTGCAAGTACAGCAGCTAAGGTAGCACATACGTACATCTCTTCCACTGGCTCACCCTCGTCGCATCTCCGAGCCATCCATTTGAAGATTGGAGGCACAATAAGACTCGAACAAATAACAAAAACACAGCCACACAAGAAGACCCAAACTGAGACAAGTGGGGAAAGATTTTTTCCTGATAGGGCAATTGCAAGAGCAAGTAGAATCCATGCAGCCACATCATTGACCGCTGCAGCTGACATGGCCATTCGCCCGACATCGGTGGTTAAAAGTTTCAGCTCTGCCAATATACGAGCTAAGACAGGGAAGGCAGTTATGGAAAGGGCTACACCCATGAATATGAGAAATGAAGTCCCGCCTACACCTTTTGCTATAGTTTCTCGGATGACAAATGAAGAACCGATTCCTAAGATAAATGGGAGGCTAACTCCTGCTATGGCAATGCTAAGGGCTTTTTTTCCCGTCTGACGTAGGGATTTAGGATCCAATTCTATGCCTACGAGAAATAAAAAGAACAGTAGACCAAGGTTTGCTAATGTATCTAACAACGTGATGCTCTTGGGTGGGAAAATGGCCTGCAAATAGTTTTTGTTTCGACCAAGCGCTGATGGCCCAAGTAATATTCCTCCCTGCCAAACAAGCAACACAAGGTAAAACTCTCACCCAATGTCAAATTGAGGATATGACAGCTTTCATTGCTATCAAAAACAAGATTGAATATGTAAAAATGTCAATTTCATGGAACTCACGCAGGAATTCTCATGACTCCTGGCAGAACTATTCTATTTATTCCCAAATCCAAGAACTGTCCTTTTCTTTTCGTCAAAGATGTCTGTAGAATTTTGAATGGCAAAGGAAATTGCAGGATCACACAGGTTAACCACCCATAAAAGGTTAGAAGAAAAAAACCCAATCTAAAAATATAAATAAGAACGGATTTTGTAAGTCGAAGAACAATAAAGAAAATCCAGGATCAAAAGGTTTTAGTGGAACGTAATCTAATACACACACCATCTATAAAAAAAATGAACGAAGACAGCAAATCAATAACTATACCAAAGGTGAAATATACAAGAAGACATCATTTTATGGTTCAGACAAGTAAAACCTTGTGAAAGATAAGATGAATGCATCGTCACAATTCCTTATTGCAAAGGGGTAGTGGAGTTTTAGTGTAGAGCAAGAAATGAAATCACTATAGGGCAACAGAAACAAGGCAACTAACACAAATTATTGGTATGTTAATAAGATGTTTCTGAGCATAATGAGTTACTAAAGTTGTCCTGATAGATTAACGACTGATCACTCTACATTGCTTTAACTAAATAATAACAGTTTGATCTACTAATTGCTTTACAAAACCAGCTGTGAAAAAAAGGAGGAGAAATTGGAAACTGAATCTGTCATTTTTAAACTTCATTGATAAATGAAAGCTGAAAATGAGTATGAACTCAAGCTCAGATCAGATATATTTTTCTTTTTCTCCAATGCACAATAAAAAGATTTTACTGCTCAGAACAATAAAAAGAACAATAAAAATATTTTAGCATGCAAGGAACACTAAGCTAAAGAACAATAAAAAGAAATTCAAAAAAATTGAAAAAGAAGAGAAAAAAATAATAATAAAGAAGCAGGAAGATTTTACATTTGCCCAGCCTGCATGGAACAATTGGACTCAAGTTACCAATAAAATTAAAAGAACTGCACACCAATCAAATTTACAAGTGTATAGAAACAAGAAAGAAACTTACAATAATCTCTGCAATCACACGTGGCTGTCTTAATGGCCTCAGCAGAAGGGCAAGGCCTCGTGTGACTACAACCACCAGGCATATCTGCAAAATGGCGAGAGGGAGTGCAAAATCAAGAGGATTATCCCCCTGGAATACTCCATTCGATGTAGCTTTCATCGGAAATGGACATGTATGCCCTTTGGTACCATTGGAAGCCATTGCACTAGAAATATATATATATATATATACACCAGAAATAGCAATTCTCACTTCACTGCAAGATAAAACATCAAAAATCAAACTTGAACAAAATTCTGAGTGACAACAAAAACAACTCTCTCAAAACCAATAACAGTATACTCTAGATATAGACTATGCTAAGTGAGAACATAAGAGAAAAAAAAAAAAGAAGTATCTCATGTTCTTTTTACCAAAATAATTTTCCATATCAAATTACATATTATTTACAAAGTTGTCATTCTTTTTCTTTTATCATGGGCAATTATGGCATTATAAATTTATTTGGTGAGAAACGGAACAAAATGGTTCTTTTTTCTCACAATTTCTCTTCCTTTCTCACCATTTTTTTCACCCTCTTACTCATCTCTCCATTTCTTTTAGTTTCTCACAAATCCCGGAACAACATGGTTCTTTTTTCTCACAATTTCTCTTCCTTTCTCACCATTTTTTCACCTCTTACCCATCGCTCTACATTTCTTTTAGTTTCTCACAAATCCCATCAATCGAAAGAGGCCGGACAAGAATAAAAAAATTTCGGCCAATTTTGTATTTTTTATTTTAATTTAGTTAGCTAAAGAAAAGTAGCATAGAAAACCTCACTTTGACCATTCTAAAAAGAGTGTGGATTCTGTTTGTACAACAAGAGGGACAAATATATCATCTTGCAAACTTACATCACCAAAACAGAATCTTAAGCAAGATTAAGCTAGCTAGGTGAAAATTTTAACATATAGCCTTAGAAGCACGGGCACAGCAATTAAAAAAAAAAAATAATAATATATAAATATATATCTTTTTATTTTTAATATAGATTAATATTACATCCACAAACAATCAAAATTAACAAAAAAATAAAATAAAATAGCACTAATTGAATATATATGAAAAAAAACACTCTTAAAAGTTAAGTATTATCGTTTAAGTCTTTTTTGTGTGATTTATTAATTATTTAAATTTAAGTAAAAAATAATAAACATCTAACATCTAACATTAAAAGCAAAGCACTAAAGACGAGGAAAAGAACTAGTTAGCGAGTCCCCAGATGTCCCCGACGTGTCCTCTAAAACCAAATTAATTAAACAAGTCAGACACCGCTATGGCACCTGGCTTGGATTGTCTCCATAGCATATATACCAGTTAACATAGTTACATAAACTAGAAGAAGAGAGTTTTAAGATTGAATAAAAGAAAAATTAAAAAGGAAAATTATTAGAAGGTCAGAGCTCAACAGTATCACAAATTACAAGTTCCTTGAATAATTTCTGTCTTGGTTTTTACAGCCAATTAATTATGTATCTTATAGAAAAATCAACAAATTACACCAAAAAAAAAAAAAAAAAAAAAAAAAAAAAAAACAGAGCATAGGAAAAAAACAACTTGAACCCTGACAGTAGAGAAAGGCATCAACACCGAACTGAATGGATATTTGCCCTAATTGAGTGAGTAACTGGTTGGTTCAATTTATATGAACTTGTATATATCAAATATTAGTATTACAACAATACAAAATCCGACAAAAAGAATGAAATATGAAATTGTAGTGTACTTAGATTTATTCTCCGTCATCATCAAGAGTGTGTGTAAGAGAGAGAGAGAGAGAGAGAGAGAGAGAGAAGAGAAAGAGGCCCTTTCTGTGTGAGTAGTTATTTTTGTAAATATTAATTAATATGAAATAGTAATAGAGAATATACAGACCTTGTTGAAGTTAGGAAGCTCATCCCGCAGCCATTCGCCCCTATGGAACGGCCTGAGTCTTCAGGAGGTTGTAAGTTTCCAACCGAATTAAAAGTATATACTTCACGTGCATTCCAATCACAAATCTCACATGCCTCTCTCTTTTTTCTTTTTTATTTTTTTTTATTTTTTTATTTTTTAATGGAGAAGATCTTCATTGTAAAACTAATAAAATATCGAATCATGGAGGGAAATAATCCTAATGATTAAATACATTTTGCCTAGCCTTGAAGGCTAGCTACATGTAGCTAGCGAATGTGAGCTGAGCCAAAATGCCTAATCATATGCCTAGTGCATTGGAGTTGAAAAAAGTGAGTTACATTAGACATTTTAACTAACAAACATTATATCCCTAGTGGGTTGGAAATGCTCTAAGTTTCCAACCGAATTAAAAGTATATACTTCACATGCATTCCAATCACAAATCTCACATGCCTCTCTCTTTTTTCTTTTTTCTTTTTTTATTTTTTTATTTTTTAATGGAGAAGATCTTCAATGTAAAACTAATAAAATATCGAATCAATCTTGGACAATAATAATAAAAGATTTTATTAAAAAATAACAAATTTTTATAAGAAAAATAATTCTAGCCTTCATAGAGGAGGGGAAAAAAAAAAAACCTCACAAAGGAAGGACACAACCTTTACAAAGTGAGGATTATTACATCAAATAATTAAAAATTAAAAATACAAATAAAAAATAACCAAAATGAAATTGCTAAACGCATTCAAAGTTTCATTATACCGCAACCTTTAACTTGAAATCTGAAAACCTCACATTCGCGGGTCAAGATCTAAGATTAAGGTTGAAGTGATCGTTTAGTGTAAAACGAACGCATTAAATAGCATTGGTTTTTGAATTGTAAGAAGATCTGAAAGCAGATTTTAAAGTTTTGGGCATAAACAAAACATCAGATCTAGAAAATCGGAAAGAGAGAGAGGTGACACCAACACCGGTGGTTAGAGACATATTTGAAAGAGATGAGACAAATCTAATGAAGGTAGATCCGTGGATGTGGGAAGGTGACGATGTGGTGGTGGTGGTGGTGGCAGATAGGGGTGTTCACAGTTCAATTGCGGCCAGCAAAGCTCCAATCCGTCATCCATCCACTAGATTGACGGATTGGAAAAGATCAATCTGCATCCGTCCGTCGGATTGACAGATGCGGATTGGTGGATGGATGTAAATCGGTTTGGCGGTTTAAACTTTTACAAATTTTTAACATAATACAATAATTTGTTAACATTTTTTTTCCACTAACAATCCAATTCAGCATAATTAAAAGATTATCAAGTAAATTGTCAAATACCAATAATAAATGCACATAAGAAAACGATGCATTATCAAAACTATTTCATTTCTTTTTTTTTTTATTCAAAAATTAGTTAATTTGATTTTTTTTTAAATGACAAGATTAAATCTTATATTTTCCACACAAAAATATCAAATATCAATACTTGTCATTTGATAAAAGAATTTCTAAATTGAAAATACAACAGAATATCTAAACTTTTTTTTAATTGAAAATACAAACAAAATATCTAAACAAATTGAAAACACAAAGTGTTACAAATTATTAGGGGTACTCGCGGTTTGGTTGTTCGATTGCCAGATGAACCTCAAATCCGCTATCTGTCCAAAACTATGCGGATTGAAAAAAAATTAATCCTCAATTGTCCGCTCGCTATCACACATCCATCCAAAATACGACGGATCGATTTGGTTCGGTCAGTTTGGACAGATCGGAATATCCACTACTCACCCCTAGTGGCGGTGGTGCCGAAAAAGGTTGGAAGAACAAACTTCTAATATTATTGAGTAAACAGACAAATAAAAAGAAAAAAACGGAGTGAAATGAGGAGAGAGTGGGTCGGAACCCCTCTCCACCCTCAACAGAAGGTTTAGGGAGGGAGGTTTAGAAAGAGATGCTCTGAGTTTAGAGATTGTTGTGCTTAAAATGCAAAATGTTTCTTTTATGAAAAATTCTATGGCATGGATTTTGTAGTCTTTGGTTGTTATCTGTTAAAGTGTTAGTCATGACTTATGACTTGTTATATACATTGCCCTAGTGGCGGTGGTGCCGAAAAAGGTTGGAAGAACAAACTTCTAATATTATTGAGTAAACAGACAAATAAAAAGAAAAAAACGGAGTGAAATGAGGAGAGAGTGGGTCGGAACCCCTCTCCACCCTCAACAGAAGGTTTAGGGAGGGAGGTTTAAAAAGACATGCTCTGAGTTTAGAGATTGTTGTGTTTAAAATGCAAAATGTTTCTTTTATGAAAAATTCTATGGCATGGATTTTGTGGTCTTTGGTTGTCATCTGTTAAAGTGTTCGTCATGACTTATGACTTGTTATATACATTGTGATTTTTTTTTTCTTATGTGGGACTCATCTTCTTCATGTGTAGAGATTCTTTCTAATCCTTTTAGGTTATATTTTGTATTTCAATATATTTTATTGTATGAATTATTGTCGAATATGTGATATATTAAGTTTTATATTTTTCATTAAAAAAAATCATTACGTTTACTTTTGATATTTAATTAAATTAGATGATAATTTTAACCCAAAGAATTTATATTTCTACGAAAGAATTTTATTAAAGAGCCCATATATGTTTAAAAAATAACAATATTAAACTTATTTGGTCAAGAAATGCTAGGTGCAAGGTGCTATAGGTTAATGTAACTGAAATAATAACAATATTTGATTTCTTTTTAAATTACATTTTAGGGAGGGAGAGGATGGATATTGGACTGAGGGAGACAATTAATGGGGAATTTGGTCAAAATTCTCTCATAATAAAATTTTAATGTATTAAGAATAAGTACAAAAAGTTTTTCTTGAAAAATCCAACGCATACTAGTATTATCAAAATTTAAATTTTAAAATACTATAACTTTTGATGTAGATGTCGATTTTTAATAAAATTTGTATTTTTAAAATTCTCTTATCAAGATCTATCAAATAAGATTCATGTTGACTATGAAATTTAAAAATATATATATTATTACTGTCAAAATTGATGTAAATAGTAACAGTAGCATGTTACTCTGGTTCACAGTAACATGTTACTCTGATAATATTGTTCAAGAAAAAAAAAACAAGATATTTTATTTTGTTCTTACTCAATTATGTATTTTCTCCTTAAGTGGTTTATGAAGCAAAATAAATTGGGCTATTTTTTCACCAAACAAGTCTCCAATGGAGGGGTTTTGGCTAAATTTCTCATAATTAATTGAAAGCTTATATAGTATATTTTGGAATATACTAATTAAGAAGTGAAATTTTTAATTGATGCAATTAACTATAACGATTCTGGTTTAGACCCAACCTATTTTCTTGCTTTTGAATCCAATAACTCATGTACTTAATTATTGTTTATCTCATTTCCATCTTATTGCTTGTTGAGATTAGCTATTGGGAGTTTTGGTTGGGTTTGAAACAGGTTGGAAAGTTAGTTTTTCCATGAATTGTTGTCCAGATTTTTGCTTCTTTGCTCAAGTGGTCTTTATTGCACTTAAGCAATCTTTTACAGTTTGTAAAACTACTGAGAGTGTGATATATGCGCTTAAGCAATGCTTCTTATGCTCGAACGGTCTTTTGCAGTTTGCAAAACTACTAGGAGGGGGTCATTGTGCACTTGAGTGGTGGTTTTGGTCGCTTGAGCAGTGTTAACTTTCTGTGTTTGTTCGCTCGAGCGGTGTTTTAGTTGCTTGAGCGGTCCATGTATATATTAGTCTGAGAGAGGGCCATTTTGAGTCATTTTTTCATCTCCTTCTCTCTCTAAACATTTCAAAACCCCAAAAGCCTTCATATTATCTTTCTAGCTCTTACTTCAAGCTTAAGGGTTTCATTTTAATCGGAGAAGTTAGTGTTTTCAGCTCCATCAAGTTCTACCCCTTGTTTCCTTATTGTCTTCTACTTTGAGGTAGGGATTTCTTTGACTTTTTTCTATGATTTTTAGTTTAGTTATTTGCTCTTTAAAAAGGGTTAATGATTTGGAGATTTTGGAAAAACCCAAGGTTTGGGTTTGAAATCAAAAGAGAGGTTTTCCAAATGGATTATTGAAAATGATTGTGGGAATGTGGTCTTGGGTGAGATATGTTAAAATGGTGGATATTTCTTCTAGAAATTCATTTTGTCAAATAAAGGGGGGTTTTCCCTAAATTTCGGATATTTGGAATTGTGTAAAGAAATGGAGAATGTTATGAGTTTTCTTTTATAAGATTGAAACGACGGTTATGCTGATGATGATGGTGGAGTTAGATATGTAATATCACTCCCATTGTAAAAGGATGGAATTGTATATTTTGATTGGAAACTATCTATTATAGAAATAACTGTTTTGGGCTATCGGTAGAGGATAGTCTTGATTGTTATAGACATTGCATGAGGATTAGGTTGAATTGAAACTAATTTCTCATACATTGTGCATTGAGCATCATTTCATATTGAACATTGTCAATATATCGATTTTGAGAAAATGGGTAAATACCTTGTTGAATCTGGTTAGGGGATGTAGTTGTGGTTATTATGTTAGTATGTGTGTCCTTGGTGAAAGTCCAGAAACCTGCGCATAGTACCTGTAAAATGGCTTTGGTAGTGCTTGTATAGCCTACTAGCAGACACATACTTAGAGATTCCCAGTGTGTTGTATCCACTTGTAACAACCCCGACCTCTAATTAACATTAATTCATGGTTAAATAAGTCTAAACAATAATTAAGGTGAAATTCTGAATTAATTGCATGTATGTGTTGCATTATTGTGCTTACATCTGTTTATCGTAGAAATATTTGTTTCCGTTTCTGTTTTGTTTTGCAAATTGAAGGCCTTATCGACATCTGATTACGAAGTTGACTGATATATGTGTTATTTGGGATTTTTAGAATTTTATGATATGTTTAATTAAAAACCAATTTGGAACGATTAAATTAAAATAATTAATGTCTGATTGATTAGCTTAATCAATAACTTAATTGAAGACCACTAAGCAAGCCTATATAAGGCCTCTATACCACTTAGAACACATCTTATCTTCATCCTTATGAGCCCAAAACGTGGGTGTGAGAGACAGAGAGAGAGAGAGAATAAGGAGAATTGAATTCAAACT